ATAAGACCAGGGTTATTATTTTATGAATTAGGCCTTTTACATTATTCATGGGAGTGTAGTCTAATATAGCCATTATGGAAAATAGCATGGGACTTCCTAAACAAATTACAAACAGAATTAGCAAATGATTCATGAATCCCATTTCTGAGAATGCCAAAAAGAAATGAGTCTGGGTATAGTGGTATACACATTTAATCCAAGCACTCTTGAAACAGAGGCAGATAGAGCTCCATGAGTTTGAGGCCAGCCTGGTCTTATATAGCAAGTTCCAGGCCAATCAGAGCTTGCTACATAATGAGACCTTGTCTGGAAAGAGAAGGGGGTAGGGAAAGAGAGGATAGAGGATGGGGGCAGGGGAGAGAAAGGAGGGGAGGAAAAAAGAGGGAGTGGGGAGAGAGGAGATAGAAAGGAGAAAGAAAAGAGGAGAAAGAGGGAGAGAAAAGGAAAGAGAGGGGAGGGAAAAGAGAAGAGGGAAGGAGGGAAGGAAGGAGGGAGAGAAGGAAGGAGAGAAGCACATCATAAAGATATGTGTATTTCCATGTTTATTCATCAATGAATAAATGGATAAACCACACACACACACACACACACACACACACACACACACACACACACACACGTTTAAACTTAGTTCAAGGTTTTCTCCTTTTAAAGGGGGGGGTGGGGGGTGGGGCGGTTACTTAGCCTTCAAAAGGGGACCTGAACCAAGCACCTGGGAGGCTGAGGCAGGAGGACAGTGAGTTCAAGGTCAGCCTGAGATACATAACAAGACCCTGTCTCAATAAAATAAAAATAGGCAGATTTGGATTTAGGAAGACATTATGCTAAGTATATATCACACCCCAAAAGAATATTTCTTGATCTCACTTATATTTGGGGGAACAGGGGAATGAATATATGGAGAATAAAACTTGGCTGCCAGGGGTAAGGATATAAGATGATGTAGGTCAAAGGATACACAAAAAGCAACAAAGATATAGGACAAGCAAGTCTAAAGATCTAATGCAAAATATAAAGATACAGATAACACTTATATAATCCTTATATTTAGCATTAGATCTTTAGACTATTGTTATCTATATCCTTATATTTTGCATTAAATCTTTAGACTTGCTTGTCTTGTATCTCTGTGTCACAAACATAAAACTGGATACACCCCATACAAACTCCTCAAAGAGAAAATAGATAGGTAGTCTCTACAAGGTAGGCCAGACTGTATTATCTTCCTACATCATAAATTAATCTGCTCATTACTTAAAATAGGGAGGCATCCCTGATAAATTCAGTGTGAAAAAGTATAGCCTTCTTTTCATTATTATTTTTATTTTTATTTATTATTTTTATTTTATGTGTATGCGTGTGTTGCTTGCATGTAGGTAAGCGCACCTGTGTCATGCAATGCCCACTGTCGGATCCCCTGGGACTGGAGTTATAGACAGTTGTTAGCTGCCATGTGGGTGCTGGGATTCGAACCCACGTCTTCTGCAAGAACAACCAGTGTTCTTAACCACTGAGCCATCTCTCCAGCCCCTTCATTATTTTTATGTATTGCCTGCATGTGTGCAAGTGCACCTGGGTCATACAATGCCCACAGAGGTCAAAAGAGGGCTTTGGATCCCCTGGAACTGGAGTGACAAATGGCTATTAGCTGACATTGGGTGCTGAGAATCGAACCCTCTATGCAAGAGCAGTCAGTGCTCTTAACTGTTGAGCCCTCTCTCCAGCCCCCAAAAAGGACAATCTTAAATGCATAAAATGAGAAATATTTTGATAAGTATGGTAACCTGGTATGGTTCCTAGAATAGCATTTAAGTCACTTTCTACAAAAAAGGTTAACTGGATATTCATAATCCTTTTAAAAAGAACCAAACATATCCCCTCAAAGAGCCTTGTTTGATTGGGACATAATTTCAGAAATATTTCAATCTGCAATATTACCAAAGTTTTTTAACAAATAAAGTCAAGAGATAGATCATTTATTAATTCTAGTGTTTCAACTAATAGGTATTTAAGAACACTAAAGGTGAAAAAAAACAATTTACACAAGATACCTTATTTTATGACTGGGCTAAAAACTTTTGTATCTCTTTTGGGGAACTGCATAACATATATATACATCAAATCAGCACCAAAGAACTATCCAAATGGATAGTACAGGAAGAAAGACGACAACTGCAGAAACATAAAAGTGAATAAGCCATGGTTGACCCTAATTACATAAAATACTTATACCAATTTTTGATGGAAATAATGTCTCATCATCCAACTGGTCCTGAACCCAGGTCATCAAGTAATCAATGTACTTTGGTGCAGAGCACTTAATAGGTTTTTTTATGTTTGTTCCATCTGCCCAGTGATACTCGTATCTGTAATGGAAAGATAAAAATTATACAGAATATCAGTGAACGTGTGTAAATATGGCACATACGTTCATATAAGTAGGTATATTATAAATGTATACACAGTATGTTTTAAACAATCTTTTCTTCCCAAGTAAGGACACATTTTTTAATCACCAGTAGTCTGTTTTGCATTTATCAAACTCCAGCCTAAGGATCACATCAAACTCACCTTTTCTTTACAGATGTTCTCACCTGTCTGAATTTTCTTAAATTTATCATCTAGCATAGAATCACATATTACTGAAGTAGAAAAATCAGTTCTATGATGCTTATCTTTGAGTGTTATAGCTGTTTTTCTTCTTTACATGTCTCTCTATGCATTGTCATTCTTTTTAACTTGGGGGCATTAAATTTTGAGTTATAAAGAATGACGTGGAAAATTCAAAGTATGGTTAATGAAAACAAGAATAGTCCAGCAGTTAAGCACATTTGGTAAAGGAAACTGGCAACTCGAAAATGCCCATGTTTTGAGTATTAATACATTATCTTTTGATTGAATAAACATTTAAGATGTAACCATCATAAGAAATATAATCTCAAGAAAAAGGGACACTGAAATAAAAGAAACTTCCCAATTCTGAAGAACAGATCAGTAGAAAAGAGGCCCATAATTAGCAAGTAAAAATATATGAACGTGAACAATTTATTTGAAAGGTCAACCTTTAAATACAAAAATCTAATTAATCTATATCCGGCCAAACCCTTGTCTTATTTCTTCTCACGTAGTGTTCTCTCCCCCACCCCCCCACAAAACCTGACTTTTAACGAATGAAATAAGTACAGAGCTGAGACTCCAAAGTATAGAATCTATAAATTGAATTGGCATTCCCAGAGTTACTCCTGGCACTTTACTCTTTAAATCAACTGTGCTTTCTACTTTCTAACCTTTTCTCCAGAGTCTGACCTGGCTGAATGATAGGCTAGTGAGCCGAACAAAGAAAATGGCAGTATAATGGGGAAAAAATTACAAAGTATTTTAAATGATAAAAATTATTTTTGATAAGATGAATGAGAATGTTTTGTATTTAGTTGTAACAACCTATACCTAACAATAATCCTAGTAGTCCTAAGCAGGATACATCTGAATAAACATTCTTGTGGACAGTCTTACTGTCAATGCTGGGCAACAAAAAGGACTGTCAAGTCCGGTTTGGAGTCTCAAAAGGTAGATTTCCCCAGCACTTTGGGTAGGTATCCTGCTGCAATGATTAATCATTTTTATAGTCAGGAATTCTCCTATTAGAGAACTGAGGTCTTTAGTGCACTTTAAACCTATGTCTTCCTGTTTGGTCCTCTTTTTTTAATTTTTATTACATTTATTTACTTATTTACTGTGTATGTGTGTACATTTGTATGCATGTGTTTGTGTGTATGCACATGTGTGTACATATGCTATTACATGCCTGTGGAGGTCAGAGAACAACTTTCAGGAGTTGGTTCTCTCCTACTATGTAGGTCTTGCAAACTGAATGCAAGTCATCTAAATTGGAGGAAATTATCTTTATCCACTGAGTCATCTCACCAGCCTTTGTTTGGTCGTCTTGAGAGCTCCAGACCAAAAGTGAAACTTTTAATCATCATTACTTTTCACTTAACAAACAAGAACTCATCCATAACTTCTATGATAAGAAACTGTTTAATGTCTTTACCCTTTCTTCATAATCATGTTTGTCATGTTGTTATTAGTTTTCAGGTGCTCATTAATCTCCAAATATAAAAACCAAAAGCAAACACGGTAAATCAAAGACTCATAATCTCCTGAAGCTTTAAAAATAATCTCAACTTTCAGTATCCTTAAGGCTTTTTGAAAAATTAAACTATATGTTGGTTATATCTCAAGTTTACAACTATGATTCACTAATCTTTTGTTTTTCTTCTGTTATGCTTACACTTAAGATTACCTTATAGTTTGAGTCTGAAATGTGTCCCACAGGATCAGGTGTTTGAATACTTGGTCATTTGCTGGTATTCTTTTGGGAGATTGTGGAACCTTTGCAACATGGTACCTAGTGGACAGACGTGTGCCACTGTGTATGGGCCTTGAAGGTTATATATGCCTCTCGTTTCTGCCGGAGCTGTCTTTTGTGGCCCTCCAACATGTAATAAGCCAGACTGCAAGCTCTAGCAGCCACATGCAGAGCCACCCCAGCTGTCATCCCTTCCCATCATGACACAGTTGACACTGATATGCCGTGAGCCTGTGAGCCAATGTCTTTTTTCAATGGCTCCTGTCTAGTACTTTGTCATAGTAACAATAAAAGTAACCAACACAGAAGTTCTACTTTACTCTCAACCTTTTCTTTTTATTCCACTTTTGACAGACCATTCACTTTGAAATTTACTTCTGTCATCACAGTGTGAACTTGTAAATCACAATTCTAAAGTAGACGTTATTCTTTTCTAATAATAATAAACAGTAACTGAGAACCAAGTTCTATGAGGTATCATTTAGCACCAATTTACAAGAGACTATGCTACACACAGGTTGACATACCAAACCCAAAATCTAAAATGCTCCAAAATCAGAACTGTTCTGAGTGCCCACAAGATGTCCCTAGTAGAAAACTCCACACTTGATATTGACAAACATCTCTTGGTATAATTCTGCATTTGTTAGTAAAGATACAGAATTTTGACAACTCAATCTTCTTAGCATTAGTAATAAGCAAAAGTAAAGATTCCCTAAAAAGAAAAGAAAAAAAGAGTGAGCTGGGCACGATGGGCATAGTGGGGCACAACTGTAATCCCAACACTTGGGAAGCAGAGGCATGAGGATTCCAACTTCAAAGCCTACCTGGGCTACACAGTAAGGCCTTGTCTCAAAAAAATTTTTTTTAAATAAGAAAAAAGACAGAGGCACAGGCAGGCAGGCACTATGCTACAAGGAACCTGCTTTTTTAGAAGGCAGCGCTTAATTCTCAATGCAAACTAACCATGTAATAGCAAAATTAAAGTCCTCCATTTTCACATGAAACTTAAAACATGTGATGTAAATATGAGTAATAATTCTAATCAGAATTACATAATAAAAGGGAATTTCATTTTTGTCAATATCCCCTTTTCTTTTAAGAAACCTCAAAATAGGGGCTGGAGAAATGGCTCAGCGGTTAAGAGCACTGATTGCTCTTACAGAGGCTCAGGTTCAATTCCCAGCACCAACATGGAGTCCATAACTCCAGTTCCAGGGGATCTGATGCCCACTTCTGACCTCTGTGGTTATTGCATGACATGAATACACTTATATGCAGACAATATACTCACACATATAAAATAAAAATAATAAAAATATTTTTTTAAAAAGAAATCTCAAAATAACAAATAACAGAAATTCATTGTATTCGATGAAAATAGGAAACACCATGTGTCTGAACCACACTGTTTAAAAACAATGGGATATCTAATTCACATAAAGACAAATATGGTAAGGAAAAAAACAAAGAACAGCACCTGCAATTTAAAATCCAGAGGACAGTTCACTAAAACAGAGAGTCCCCTATGGGATGAAAACAACCTTTTAACAGAAGGAAGTAGATTAGAGGCAAGAAATTCTGAAAAATTTCACAGCAACTCAACTCTGTGGGATAGAAAGTAGTAAGAATCAAACATAGGTTTGTGCCTTTCTAGTGAGAATTACTACCTTGTGTTTACCTCCTTCTCTGACATCAACATACCTCTCCTGAGCTCTTACACCTTTGTGGAAAACCATCTGATCAGCAGAGCTTAAAGCCAGCCTGGTCTACATAGTGAGTTCCAGGCCAGCTGGGGCTACAGGGAGACCCTGTCTCAAAAAAAACAAAAAAGCAAACAAAACAAAACAAAACAAAAAAACCAAAAAAACAAAAAACAAACAAACAAAAAAACCTATGAAACATATAGGTACCACTAAATAAATAGTAGTGCCTTTATTAGTAGTAATAGTAATAATAAAAGTCAATTTCAAAAATAAGTTGGTCCAACCAATACTATTGAGTGCTAAGGAGGTGGTAAGTACTGTCCTTGTACCAAAACAGATTTAAAAGAACACATCTAATGAGTTAAATAAGGTGTATATATGGCCAGGGGTATAGCAGTGATAAAGAACTTGGGTGGCATACCTAAAGCCTTGGATTTGATCCCAAGCAGCACCAGAAAAAAAGAAATGTTAACAGTATGAATGTAATGTAGTGAAAATATAATCATTATAAAAGTGAAAAGGTTAGGGGCTAGAGAGATAGCTCAGCAGTTAAGAGCATGACTTCTCTTGCAGAGGACCAGGGTTTGGTTCCCATCACCCAAATGACAGTCGGCAACCATTCATAGCTCCAGTTCCAGGGAATCCAATTCCCTCTTTTGGCCTCCATGGGCATTGCATACACGGGTATACTTACATACACATAAAATAAAAATAAATAAACAAATAAATAAATAATAAGGTTAAACAGAAAGATCACATCTACACTAAAGAAACCAGAAAGCTTCACAGGGAAAGAAGCATCCAACAAGGGCTCTGAACCTGAATAAGATATTTTTAAATATTAACAAAAGATTAAAAAGAGGAAATGAAGAAAGGAATAATGTCCAAGAAAAATAGATGAGGAAAGTTTTCAAAAGTAATGGGGCAAACAGTAAGGTGTTTTCAGGAACTGAATTTGGATAGATGGGGAAAACATACCAAGTAGCCAAGTGTATCCAGCACTTGGGAGGCAGAGGCGTGTCTATCTCTGTGAGTTGGAGACCAGACAGGCTATACATAGCTGGTTCCAGGCCAGCCAGGGCTACATAGGAAGACCTTGCCTCAAAACAGAAAAAAAAATTAGAGAGAAAGGTAGAAAGGAGCACAGTAAAGCAAGGCAAGGTCATCAAAAGCTCAAGAAAGGGAATCTAAACCTTATCAGGGGGAGGGAAATCTGGAAGAATTGCTAAATAGGGAAAACAAAAAGAATAACTGTAAAATACAGTAAAAAGGAGAACTGATCATTAAGCATGTCTTACTTTGGTCCAGCTGACATCACGGGACAGCTCTCTTCTGTACAGAAGTCTGTGATGGTTCCATAAAGCATATTGATCTGATTGAAGAAATCCACAGCTGCAAAGTGAATGTTAGTTATAAGTAAAATAAAATTCCTGAAAATAACTTTGGGGCTAGGCATAGTGGCCCAGGCCTTTAATGCCAGCACTTGGGAGGCAGAGGCAGGCAGTGAATTCCAGGCCAGCCAGAGCTACATAGTAAAGCCCTATCTTTAAAAAAAAAAAAAAAAGGAAAGAAAAGAAGAAGGAAGGAAGGAAGGAAGGAAAAATAAAAACATTTTTACTTTTTTTTCATAAGCAGAAATCTTAGGTTCTTTTAGCCTACAAAGAACAGATGGAAAGCTCACACAGCACATAGAAGCCTCAATTTTTTACTATGTTGAAAAAATTAGTAAGAGTTTATGTTTACCAAGTAATTCCATTTGAGAGCAAAAATACAGACTAAAAAAAAATTATTTGTAACCCATATGAAAAGCAACAATCTTGCATACAAAATATATAAAGAAGTCCTATATGTGAATAAAAAAAGGCAACATACCAGGAAATTTAACAATTTAAACTACACACACACACACACACACATTTCTAGATGGTCCAAAATCCTATTTAAAAAATGTTGGTAATCATGAAACTATAAATTTAAATGATAATGGGTTGTCATTTTAAAGTACCCCTCAATAACTAAAAACTTATTTCAAGTGCAAAAAGTCAAGACTACCCAATGCATTGTAAATGTCTGTCTGTATGTATAGATGTCTGTGTGCATGTGTAGGCTAGAGGAGGAAGACCTCAGCTGTCATTTCAGTAGTAGAGACAACACTTAGTTCTAGAAACTGAGACAGAGAAAATACAGAAATTGCTTCAATGTTTTAAAGAAGCTGTTGTGCCACCATGCCCAGCAACTTTTCTAATTTTCTAATAAAACTTAAAGAAAAATAACTTTGAAATTAAAAAAAAGAGCTGTTGTACACAATTCTATACAGTCATTCTTACATTTTTTTAAATTAGTAAATGAGGGCCAGCAAGATGGCCTAGTGTAAGGGTGCTTGCCGCCATGCTTGACGACCAGAGTGATCCCCAGGACCCACATGGTGGAGGAAAAGAACTGTCCTCTGACCTCCATATATGCACCATGGGTGTGTGTGTGTGTGTGTGTGTGTGTGTGTGTAAATAAGTGTAAAAAATAAATACAAAATTTAGTAAATGAGCTCTCAAAAGCACAAACATGCAAAAAATATACACATACACTGAAATTTTATTCTGATGTTTGAGAAGTCAAAGAACCATCTTATAGGGTGAATATCATCAATAAAGTACATAAACCACTTATTACTGTATTGCTAATAATTAAGCATCTTGGCTCACAAATATAAGGATATTATAATAAAACATTTAAAATGATATGACAATCAAGTTTTAAGACATGTCAACAAAATTCTAGTTCTTACACTGTATGACATTTCAAATTATAATAACATCTCATCAAATAAGCAAGATGTGGTGTCACATCCTTGTAGTCCCAACAACTAAGGAAACCGGGGCAGGGATCATGAGTTTGAGGCCAGCTTGGACTACAAACCATGAGCTTGTCTCAAAAAACGAAAATAATAACCGTTTTACTTTTCCTAAAACCTAGACTCTTAGTATATGCTTTTAATTAGCTTTAATTTTATTCTACTCAACTCAGAAATTTTCTTCAATTATAAAATCCTACATTGTAATCTCCAGCACACCACATGCACGCATGCCCACATACACACAAAGTTCTAACATATGGGTGTGGTGTGCACACATGTAGTCCCAGCTATTTGGGAGAATCACTTCAGTCCCTAAGTTTGAGACCAGCCTGGGCAACACAGTAAGACTCCATCTCAAAACAAAACAAACATAAGAAAAAAAAAAACACTTAAATTTTACTATGCTGAATAACCTTAAATTTTCCCCCCAATGCTCTCTGGTTTTATTTTCAAGAATATATTCACTCTCTCCTAACCTATTTTTGGCCTAGGAATTGAGACCACCTCAAAAACATATTTTACCAATTTCATAAAATCATGACTGATTTTCTTTTAGGTAAGTGTAATTTAGACAACAATAATACATCACTGAGACGGTAGTTCACCATCACATTTACTCTGTATACTAAAATTATATAGCTATATATTTAAGAGCTGCTGTTCAATAGCTGCAAACCCTTGACAGGTTACTAATCTTTCTGTCCTGCCATCTTTATCTAGTAAACTGGAATAACAGTACCTATATCATAAGGCTATGAAGATGAATTTAAATCATCCACATGGAATGACAGCAGAGTACCAGACATATTAGTGTTTGATGAATATTATTGCTAAATTGCAAACAGTAAATCTATTAATATATCATATCAGCAAACAAGAGCATCATTTCATAAAACTTCACATTCAAAAAAAAAAAAATACCATAAAGACTAAAGTTGTATTCTGCCACCACCATATTATATTAGGCTAAGCAGCTACTAGAATAGACAATGCCTCAACATTCACCTGCAATGAGGCCACTGACCCAACTCAGAGTTTGTTGAGAAACAGAAAGACTTACTGTTAACTGCAACCCACTCATTGAGATCCTCCCCCTCAGGTAGCATGACAGCCATCCGGAGATTGCCACTGCCAAGTGTGGCTTCTGCGTGTTTTAAGAGCTCATACTGGTGTGAACCTTCTGGGATGTTCTTCTTTGGTTTGAAAGTTTTAGAAGAGCGACTACCACTATGAAAAGAAAAGGGAAGGAAAAAGGAGAAACCTTTGTTATTTAAGTCTAGACTAGTGATGGAATCTACTGGATAATACAGAAGTTATCTTAAATACCCCAAAATTAATAGGAGTTACACTTTTAGTCCCCAAACCCAAACACTATGTTAATCCAAGCAATATAGTTACTGTAATGGCTATGCTATCTACCCAGAATGCCTATAAACTTTCTCTACATTCTCTAATTCATGAAGACAAAAAGAATTTTCAGTTATAACTCATCTAGTTAGTTCTTCACAGTAAATTAAATACTCAGGATTATAGATTGTAATCTATAAAAAAAAATGCTTCCATGACAAATTTTAGTAATTTTATTCCCTTCTTAACCCTATTTTTTTCTATTGTTTTCTCTTACAAGACACATACAGATACAATTTTGTTCTTCTATGCAATTATAAGAAACATAAGCAATCCATCTTAACCCAGAATTCTGGTTAAACAGGCAGCTAGGCATTACTATGACTGATCTACACAAATTTCTAAATGTGAACATATACACATGTATTTGTGTATAGCATATACATACATACAGTCAGTCTTCCATATATCTATGAGTCTGCACTTATGGACTCAACCAAGGATTGAAAATACTTGGGAAAAACTACATCATCACAGATTATACACAGACTGTTTTCTTGTCATCGCTAAACGATGGAGTATAAAACCTATTTATATATCACTTATATTGCACCAGACATTATAAATAAACTAGAGATGACTTTAAAAGTACACGGAAGGATGCAAGTAGGTTATACTCAAATATCACACTGTTCTACATCACACTATTCTATGAAAGGCACAAATATATACAGATTTTATTATCTGCAAGATCCTGGATGCAATCCCTCATGCAGACAGAGAATAATTCTGTGTATGTGTTTATTTAAATTGATCAACTAAAACAAATTTTAAAATGTTGGTGTGGAGAGATATCCCCACCAATAGACCATCTGTCCTTTGAGCAAGGGCCAATACTGTCACTACCTTGATGGAAAATAAGAAGACTCAGCTGGTGGTGATCACACATGATAATAGATCCCATGGAGCTGGTGGTCTTCCTGCCTGAAACATGTCACAAGATGGGGGACCCCTACTGCATCATCAAGGAGAAGGCCAGGTTACTGCTACACCTTTGCATTCATACAGGTTAACTGAAAAGACAAAGGCACTCTGGCTAAGCTGGTGGAAGCTATCAGGACCAATAACAATGACAAATACAATGAGATCTGCTGTCACTGGGGAGGTAATAACTTCGGTCCTATATCTGTGGCTCGCACTGCCAAGCTGGAAAAGACAAAGGCCGAATTCATCACCAAAATGGGTTAAATGAACACTGCTAAGTTTTCTGCACATAAATATAATTTTTAATATTTTATTATTCTTTTATGTGTATGAGTGTACTGCTTGCATATGTGTAAGTGTGCCTGCGTCATGAAGTACCCATGGGAGTCAGAAGAGAGCGTCAGATTCCCCTCGAACTGGAGTTACTGACAGTAGTTAGTCACCATCTGGGTGCTAGGAATCGAACCTGGGTACTCTGCAAGAGCAGTCAGTGGTCTTAAGCACTGAACCATCTCTCCAGCCCCATATAATCTTTTAAATTGCCCTTCAAAAAATGGTGGTTTGAACTAGTAGAAATGGAAAGAAGACAGAGATGCGATTTACAGACAGAACCACAAACATGATCCACTACTAGATTTCACTTCAGAAATAAAAGCTGTTAAAAGAGAGAAACTGAGGATGACTCCAGCGTTTACACTACTATAAAGGTAGAAACTGGGCCACTTAGGGCCAGGGAGATGGCATGGCAAGTTATGGCACAGTGGATTAAGGCACCTGCTGAGGAGCCTAAGGACCTCAGTTCAATCCCCAGAGCCCACATAGTGGAAGGGGAGAACTGACTCCTACTAGTTGACCTCTGACTTCCACATGTGTGGGCATACATAACACTAAATAAATAAATAAATAAATGTAATAAAAAATTTAAAGACACGCTTAAGGAGCCTTTCCCAACCTTCCATAGAAAACTCTTCCTTCTTGTGTCCCATTAAGGTTTATATCATCTGTAATACCTTAAATATATGTTTATGCTCTCTTTTAGTTGTTTATTTTTTATGTTAAGGCTGTGTTTCTTTTCATTTTGTAACTCTGCTGCTTAATATAATGTCTGGGCTTAAAGTGAATAGCAAAAAACCACCCAGTTTCAGATCCTGTCTTTATAACTTACAGGCTGTGAAATCAGAGGCAAATTATACAACTTCCACAAGCTTACAACTAAAAACTGGGGTGACCACCAGCTTTGCACAACTATTAGGACAACTGAGTAAATACACTTAAAGCAGCTCTGTCTTAAGATACCTGTCACATGGCAGGTGTTTAATATAGGAAATGAGCTTTGAAATGTTCAATGACATACATACACTAACATAGGTGTATGTGGAAAATAAAATATGCATCTTATTCCCTTATTACTTCCACTAATCAATAATAAAAGCTCAATTTAAAATATCACTTTTTTATGCTTTCCCCCTTCCTAACTAGATATGGGTTAAAAGATTACTTTTTCCCTCCTCAAAATGAAAGAACAGACTTTCTCCTGGGATACAATCTAAAGCTATAGACCTTTAGAAAAGGTACAATAAAAGGTCAAATCTGAAACCTAGGAAGTACTACAACCATCTTTTTGTTTTGGTTTGATTTGCTTTGTTTTTTAGAGATACAGTCTCCTTACACAGCCCATGCCACTGATCTCCGCAAGAACGCAAGCATGCACACACACACACACACATACACATACACATACACAGAGAGAGAGAGAGAGAGAGATAGAGAGAGGGAGAGAGAGAAGTCAGAGAAGAAACTTTTTAAATGAAAATGAAAGTACAACTTACAAGAACTCTTGGGATACACTATGGCAGTTCTAAAGGAAAATTTGTAGCCGCGTTTGCTCATGTTATAAAATCTTAGTAATCTCAAATAAAGACGCACCTCAGGGTCTTAGAAAAATAAGAATATGTCAAATCCTAAAGAAGCAGATAGCAAGCAATAATAAATACTAAGACAGAAAGTAAAGAAATTAAATTTACAGAAAGTAAAATTAAAAAACTGGTTCTTTAAAACCCATGCGCCGGGTGTGGTGGTGCACGCCTGTAGTCCCACCACTTGGGAGGCAGAGGCAGGCAGATCTCTGTGAGTTCAAGACCTGCCTGGTCTACATAGTGAGTTCCAGGCCAGCTGGGGCTGCTGGGGGACCTTGTCTCAAAAAGATCAAAAATAAATAAATAAATAAATAAATAAACAAACAAAAAAACAAACAAACAAACTGGGGGCTGGAGAGATAGTTCAGCAGTTAAGAGCACTGTCTGCTCCTGCAGAAGAACTGGGTTCTATTCCCAGCACACACATGGCAGCTAACAACTATCTGTAACTACATACAGGGGATCTGACACCCTCTTCTGACCTCCTCAGGCACTGCACAACACAGTTGCTCTTACACACATGCAGGCAGTACACTCATATACATAATAAAAATGTTTTTTAAAATAAATTGACAAACCCCTAGTCAATCTACCAAAACAAAGAGAAAGGAAACAAAAAAAAAGATGTCACAACAGATTTCAATGAAATCCAAAAAATCATTAAGGAGTATTTTGAATACTTTTATTCCAAAATACTTGAAAATCTAGAAAAAAAATGGATAAACTCTCAGACATATATGAGCAAAATTAAAATAGATTATAAATAATTTAAAGAGAAAGCTATAGGCTTTAATGTGTGTAAACAGAAAAACCCAACGAAAACATACTCTAGAATACCTTAAGACTAATGCAACTAACAATTATCAAAAGATGGGATATAAATGGCCAATAAACCTATGAAAAATGTTCAACATCCTTAGCAAAGTAAATCCTAATTAAAACAACCCTGAAGAGCTAGGGAGATGGTGCAATGGATCAAATGCCTCTCACACAAGGCTGACACCTGAGTTCAGATCCTCAGAACTCATGTAAACGTCAGATGTAGTAGTAGTACAAGTGTCTATAATCACAGCACTCCTACAGAAAAATGGAAGGCAGACAGAATCCTCAGAAACTTGCAGTCCAGCTAGCCTGGTGTAGGAAGCACTGAACAATGAGAGAGACTCTATCTGAAAACAAGACTGAAGAAGAGGACCACACCTGATGTTGTCCTTTGACCTTCACATGCATCTGTCTACACTCACATACCCATACATACACACAGCTCACAACTCACACACATACACACCCAAACACAGATTCCATCTGACCAGTCATAATGACTATGATTAAGAAAATAAATAATACTAGCAAGGATGTAAAGGAAAAGTGAACCATTACTCAGTGGGAATGTAAACTAGTAGAGTCACTATAAACAGAACTACTATAAGACCCATATCCTGCAAGGGTGGATAATGCTACTCCCAGAAGCCAGAAGTCATCAGTTAATTATTAAATGAAAATCCCAGTGCCAGATATGAGATCCTTCCCTGGGAGTTGTTGGTTGGGAAGGCCCTAGAGGCCTCCAAAACAGTACAGGCTATCCTATTTGCTCTGGGATGCCCCCCGGAACTAGACAGATGATAATACCCTAGTGCTGAAGACTTCACCACCTTTGGTTGTAGGATATAGGGAAATCAAGTTGGAACTGAGCTGGAAACTTCCTCTTTCATATACAGAATCTAGATGTGTCTACACACACATGATAGCAGAATGAGAGGGGAGAATTTAGAAGGATAATGGAATATATTCTGTCATGAAAGCAGAGAGGGACCACTTGGGAGAAGGAAGGAGACCAGGGTAAGAGAATAAGGAAGGATGTGGGGAGTGGAGCGGGAGATAAGAACAAACTGACAATACTGTAATGAAAGTTACTTCTTCATATGATAACCAAAAAAAATTAATTAAGGGGCTGGAGAGATGGCTCAGAAGTTAAGAA